CCTCCTGGGAAAAGGCTTCCTGCCCAGCAGCAGAGGCTTCCTCTGGGTGGGGACTCTGCTGGGAAGGGGTCAGAGGGCAGCATGGTGCTCAGGAAGCTCAGATGGGGGCTGGGGGGAGCGGAGGGCCTCAGCCCTCCCCCGCTCCGTGTGACCCTCTCTGTGTGTTCATTCTCCCAGGGATGCCACATGTGGCAGGAAATGAGGTTCAGGAAATCATGGAGGTCCCCAATAGTGCTGGCCTCTGGCTCCCATGTCCCCCTGCCCCCCAAGGGCCCAGGCCCTCCTTCCAGGGCCCTGACCACCTTTCTCTCCCTCCTTCTCCCTCTCTGTCCCCCACTTTTGCCCTCTCCCCAAAAACTTCACCCGTCGGCCACCTGTCCCTTCCTGGAAGGCTCCCCGATGGGGCTCTCTCCATGCAGTCCTGCGAGCTCACGATCCAACAGGTAGAGCTTGGATGGATGCCCTGAAGGGCTGTGAGGGGCCAGCGGGGGCAGGGCCCAGAAGGCTGGCCGTACCCTGCAAGTGTCCTCAGCAGCAGGAAGCTGGTCCGGGGCTGGGACGCTGCCAAGGCGCCATGCCTGCTGCCCCCTGCCCGGGTTAAGGGCCAGCTTCCCGAGGAGGCCCGCCTCCGGCCTGGGGGTGCAGCATCTGGCGTCCACCTTCCTGTGCTCTTTCCCGGCACTGGGGGAGGGGGGTGGGGGCACGGCCACACACCTGAACCTTCACTGTGCTTTGCCTGAGCCCAGTTCCCCTGGCTCCCAGCCCCCCTCAGGCCCCAGTTTCCCCCTCGCTCCCAGCCGCCTTCAGGCCTCAGCTTCCCCCTGCTCCCAGCCCCCCTCAAGCCTCAATTCACCCTCTGCTCCAGCCCCCCTCAGGCCTCAGTTTCCCCCCTCGCTCCCAGCCCCCCTCAGGCCTCAGTTTCCCCCTCGCTCCCAGCCCCCCTCAGGCCTCAGTTTCCCCCTCGCTCCCAGCCCCCCTCAGGCCTCAGTTTCCCCCTCGCTCCCAGCCCTCCCTTCTGCTTCTCCCAGTGGCCAAGCAGAGGGGACACAGGCCGTTGCTGGCATGGTGCCTTGGCAGCTAGAACCCGTGGCCCGACTGTGCCCCCTTTTAGTCCAAAGTCAGAGAAACTGAGGCAGCGGCTCCACCCTGATGTTGGCAGGGACAATCCAATCTGTCCATTCTTTCCTGCTTACCTGTTGCGCAAGGGGTCTGCGTGAATGGGGAGGCAGCACCCCCATTTCAGGGGCTGTGCCCACACTGGGGGCTATGAGGAAAGCCCAGTGAAAGTGCGGCAGGAGGGGCTGCGGGTGGTGAGGGTAAGGCGGGCGGCAGAATACGGCAGGGCAGCGGGAAGGGGCAGCTTTACTGGGCTCAGG